TATATATATATATATACAAAATTGTATATATATATATTTGGCATAATATCTTTCTCCTGGAGCTAATGCCGCGTAGAAATTTCGGACTATATCATAGTGCATTTAAAAATATCTTTCGACATTTTCCTAGTCCTTATTGGAAAGATTTATCTGGATCAGGTAGTGACGTAAATCGTTGACCGCTTGACGATCTCGTTGGTGCGAGTCATGATGAAGTCGCACCGAACGTCATTTCCGGAAACTTCACAGTTTCCATTGTGACTTATTCTACCCATTTTTTTCATTTACGAAAACATCTATTTTCCATTATCTCTTTTCCACCTATTTGCAGTATTAATTGTCGGTCCAACTGAGAGATTAAAGTTACATCCACGTTATCGTGCATTTAGCATCAAATGTAGTAATGCAATGAAAAGATAAAATGCAAAATTTGATCGTAAAATTTAGGTATGAATGTAGAATTATAACATGTTTCGAAATTTCTGAAATTTCTAAATATAAATTTCCAAATTTTATCTCTGGGATTAAAATCTGGATTTTAGTTCTCATTGTGCTTCCACGTTTTCAACATTTCGAGAGTATTAAGTTACTATGCGAAATTCTATCAGGAATCGCTAAATTTTTTGCTTGATTTTGTGTACAAGAAATTTTTTGATTTTATACGATATGATACTATATGACACCAATATTTTGCTGCCACCAATATTTTTATCAGCTTTTTTATAAATCAATTTCTGATTTTGGAATAGTGATTAAAAGATATTAAATTAATTTTCAGTATCTAAAATATCTAATGATTTCGTTAATTAAGAGTGTCAGTATTATCACTTTTTTTCTGAATAAAACTTATAATTAAATTCTCGAATAATAATGCATGATAAGTGCTGAGATAGCTGATAGATTTTCAATATTTCACGTATATCCTTTAATTTATCAATTATGAACAAAGGGAGGGGAATTTTACTGCTTCATTGGTGAAGATAGCTAACCGAAGCGTAACACACAACCAGAGAGATGAGATTCGCCGAAATACACGGGCACAGAAGCAAAGGAACGTCAGAACCGCAGGCGCCTTTATATTTAGAAGCCCGGGTCGCATCCGTATAAGGCCCGCCGTGCAAAAGTCCTCTCTTTCTTCTCTCTTCCCTTTTACTTCATTTTTCTCTTTTTTTGCTGAAACTCGCGGAAACTCATATATTTAATTAATTAGATTTGTAGTTGAAAGAAATGCTTAATTATCTTTTGAGGAACTTTTTTATACTCCAGTAAAAAATATCTTGCTATGTATGTGTGTATGTGTGTGTATGCGTGTGTGTACCTGTGTGTGTATGTGCGCGCGCGCGTGTGTGTGTGATATTATACATATAATACATATAATATATAAATGCATATG